GAAAGCTAGCGCCGTTACACTTCGAACCTGGTTACGTTGACCATGGCTCCCTTAAGGATCAAGAAGCTTGGGTTTGGGCCCAACCCAAGATGGGCACAAAAGCTGTCTGCAAAGGTGTTCAAAACAGACACCTTGAAGATGGTAAGGTTTACAGAAATAACCGGGTCAGGAAGCAGGAAAGCTTCGGGTTAAATGCAAACCCATGACGGGCATGACTTCGGTCGGAAACGTACTACGAACAAAGCCGGTAGACACAATCACTGGGCCTTTGGGAGGTGTCATAGAGGAGTCTCGCAAATGTTGATCAGCATCAACGAATCGTAGAATCCAGATTGAAGTGCATGGGTGACAAGAAGTGTTGTGCAGGCAGCAGGACCTCCAGCAGATCTTTGCGTTTGATCTGGGAACACTGCATTCTCAATGGAGCAAGAGAATGTCATAGAAAAGTACCGCCACAAGCCCCGAACCTGTCAAAGGTCGTTGGCAAGGTGCGCATCAGCTCCCTGCTTCCCCTAACATCAAAGGTGCACCTAAGATCCACAGGTCAGAAGGACCTGTCATCATGACATGTTGCTGGCTTTCTTCCGAGATGATTTAAGTACAACTGAGATATATTCCGAAGTAAAGTCAGCGAGAAAAACGGGAAACCCAGGTTGTTTTCAAAACGAGAGAAGATAACACGTCCTAGAAACGAGAACGATGAAACCGAAACGGGGAACGAACCAGAAAGCGAAGTACGCACCTCCTCCAGATAGGGGGATCCAACTCATGCATGTACACTTTGAGTACGTAGTCCTGTTTGTGTCTCAATTTGGCCTCTTTCCGTGCAGCCCGCAGCTCCGCATCTTTTCGCTCCGCCATCTGTCCAGCGAATGTGACGTCAGCACAGGGCGAGTGGGGCATCAGCCCCAAACTAGCCGGGAACTAGGTGAAATCAAAGAAGATCCACCAAAGGAGGGGTCGATTTGCAGAATCGCAAGTAGCGTGGGTGCTCCATTCCTTCTCACTCTCAGTCCACAATGCCACCTGGCACCTCAGGCCGAGCGTAGGCGAAGTCGAGGACCGCCGTTCAAGGGGGTGGTGGAAACTGTGATTCTTAGATCAGCATTTGAGTAAGAGGGCATCAGACAAGCCCACCAATGAATAGTTACATGGTCGAGCAACGAGAGAGGGGAGGAAAAAGCTCCGGTGATCCTTCATCGACAGGGTGATTGAACCTGAGGGCGGCAATGCACTATTTGGAAACACAACCGTATGATCAGCTGGCTTTTGAACGTGGGTTCAAAAGCCAAAGGACCGGCAGGACTACGTTCGGCTCAAGATTTCATAGCCTGCAACATTGATTCCAGCTATTCGCCACAAGCAATCAATCAATGGTAGTTCGAAACAGATGCAAGTCGACAATTGGCAGCAGGTATGCCTACTTTTTTGATGTCACTTCGGTACAACCGCGTTCTTTCACAAGTCACCGTCGAAACCCCTCTTCCAATATCACATGCGCAGCATCTTCCCCCCTATGATTCACGTAAAGGAGTCACCCTCAAAGGAAAGTCATCGCTTTTAAGGCATCACAGCTGTACTTGTGTCGGAAGCCCCACCTTTTTGCAAAACTGCACCTCGGGCGTGTCGCGCCCATGGTAGATCCCCTGCGCTCTCATTCTCCGCATTGTCTTAGCCATCATCAATTTCATCGACGCCCCGTCCTCCTCCTCCTCTCCCTCGTCTTCAAACTCATCAATCCCCCACGGCCCCGGAACTTTCAACGGCGTCTGCCAAGTGGCAGGGTTTTCCTCTCTGACAACCCTCGGGACGGTGCTGATGTCATCACGGGGATCAATGTCAACGTACGGCCCACCGCGGTCCCGCCGGGGGACTGACGTTGGTCTTTCGCATTTCTGTGAGGGCGTTGCGCCGCCATCTTCTGCAGGGCCCCCTTTGCTCCCTGAGCCTGGGGCTGCAGTTGAGGGCCCTGTTTTTGAAGGCAGGTTCTTGGCGTCTTCCTTGGTTTGAGGATCCTGCGCCTCTTCATCATCTGTCTCCCAGCTTCCTTCCGAGCCGCCTTCTTCATTCTCACCACCTTCTCCTTCTGCGTCTGAGTCATCCGACTGCGTCCGAATCCTCATCTGCACTCCCTGATGAGCAGGAGTCAGCATCAGTAAGTTCTGCCTTCTTACCTGGGACAATCGTCCCTGCTTTCATCATCTGAGACGTCCAGCTTGTCCCACTTTGAGTAGTCAACCATGTTGCCAAACCCCAAAGATGAAGCCGCAGGACCAGATGCGCAAGCTACCTTGCAAATGCCGTCAACTGGCCTGCGAACAATAAGATCCAGCAAGTGGAAGACGAAGATTGTCCTAAAACATACGGTACGTGCCCATCAGTATTTTAAAGTTTAACGATCAGCATGGCGCTCTGTGCACAATGCTGCCTTGACTTGGATGCAGTCAGGAAAGGATCCATGATCGTGCAAGACATGTCCAGAATTGTGTCAAGCAGACCTCTTTAACCGGCTGTACCAGCGATGATTATGAAAGAAACGGCAGCAATTTTGGCGGAAACCGTCCCTTTCAGTGGCAGACTGGCGGTTTACCATGAACACTTGTATTGACACTACTGTATCACAGAGCTCCCAAATTTGTAGATCCGCAACCAGGATCTGCTGAGCCCTTGAAGTTGAACACTAGCCTCGGGCATGTTCATGCAATCCCTTTCTTGCTTTCCCAGCAGGACTTCCCCTTCATGAGCAGACTTTTTGTGCAGTACAGTAGGTAGTTCAGCTTTTACTGCCAAAAGTTTCAGCTTGCGGAGGACCAAAGTGCCTGCTGACAGTCCAGTCCTCTGGTGTTGTATTGACGCCTTCTGTCAGCTCAGCATTGCCTCTGATATTGTTGGTACCTTATGGCTGGAACCCCAGAAGCACACCCTTACCTGGATTCCCCAATACATGAGTATCTTGGGATCCAGTATCTGAAGACAACACCAGAGCTGGTGACAGCGCGCATGAAAGTGACCGAGAGAAATCGCCAGCCAGATAATCTGTTGCATGGAGGTAGGCCAAAAAAGTCGATGTGCTTGAGAGTTGGAAGATCCGCGTTCATTGCTGCGACTTGTACTCTTGAACTATGAGTTGCTGAATGCTGTTTTGAATTGTCTTTTGCTTTGCTGATTTGGCTTGCAATTGCAGCATGCTGTGGCTCCTGAGTTCCTGAATTGAAATGATTCGTAGTGGCGTAGTGTGGGGAACAGGAGGCCTTGCTTAACCTTCAAAGTTGTGTCGGGAGGAGTATCCCAGCTTTTCCTTCTCCTGCTGCTAATGCTGGTAATTCTCACCAATGTACAGGAGTCTCTGTTCTTCTGGCAGAGGGCCTAGTCAGGTGAGCCTCTGAGCTTCCCTTCTCTCATGCAACAAGCTGAGCTGTAAATGAAAGCTCAGTCTGTTCTTCGTTGAAGCTCGAAATGGATGCCGCCTGAAGATACTTCTTCAGGGCCTACTTGAGATAAAAAGCCTTCGTCTCAGACAAATATCTAATGCAGAGAGCACTTTACCAGGTTCCTGTAGTTCTGCATGCATCCACACCCAGATGCTGCCACCAACATTACAAAGGTGGAAGCTTTTGATCAATTGAGACTGCATATCAACAGAGAAGCTAGCGTCCATCATTCTACATCAAACGCGGTCCTTCAATCCTATAACTAAAGGACACCGCACCAAAACTACAGTCCCTGGAAGTTGGGCCACCATACTCTACAGGCAGGGAGCCTACTTAGCTCGCAAACTCTGATGTTCAAGTTCCACAAAGTCGTGCTACAATCTCAAGGCAGGCACTGTCTTCACCCGAGCTGATTGTTTTCTACATCTTGGTGCCTGCTTGGCGTAGGAGGTGCTCAGAAACGCTGAACTTCCTGCTGTGCCTCTGACCGCAGCAAAACCAGGCCCCCCAGCCTCGGGTTAATCACTCCTCTCATATCACAAATTCAAAGGCTACAAGCTCTCCTTGCCCAGCCTCTCCTGACAAGTGTGTTGGGTGCAGTCGAGGGGCGCGTGCAACTGGTGCTCATGCGGTGGGTGTTGAGATCAACGCTAATCATGTGAGAGGCGCGCCTGTTGGGAGCACCGTCTACGCTGAGGGCCGACCCCTGAAGGCGGGCCGAAGCCTGCAGGTAACCCCTTCGTCGGTAGCGGAAGGTTTCGCAAAAATCGATTCAGTACAATGATGAGTGTGGTTATTGTTCAAACGAGACCATGGCCTGGCATGTCCAAACTGATCTGGTTGGCTCCACAATCGTCACTCGAAGTCACGAGGTTCAACGATGTGGGGGTTCGTCACCTGGAGCTGAAAGTTGAATCCTTAGCCCCTTTCTATGAGAGGTTGTGGGACGTGCACTTTATTTGCATTGAAGACATCACAACTTCGAAACGGTCTGAAAGATGATTGGAAAGGGAGCAGCACTCTCGACGTTGTTCGTTCAAATGGTTTTGTGTCTATTCGAGATCCCTTTTATGCGAACACTCTTCTGGTCGCAAAACTGTCTGATGCATATCAGCAAGCGTCCCTGTCAGACCATAGTGAAGGTCTCGATACATACGCCTCGACATCCTCCTTCTGATGGCGCTTGTTGCCTTGCTCTTGATATCTTCAATCAGAAAGAATGTGCAGGATGATGTGCGTGCTCTTGCACTTGCCTTTTCAATCCTGACTCAAAACCGTTCTTGCAGGTGTGGGAAGTTCGTCTCTACATGGAGCCTCAGAATAAGGTAGACGACTCTGACATTGCCAAATTCGGAAAGCTCGTCTGCGTCTCCCGGTGTACCCTAGGAGTCAATTTGGGTCAGAAGCCTCCAAAAGAGGCACCTGAAATGTCGCATAAGCTCGCTAAGCTGTAAAGCCTGACCGTTGGTGCACTGACCCAAGTTGCAACAATGGTATCACTGTATGCACGCGCAGAACACGCTACAACTGAGAAAACATGGACGAACTATTGCTTGCAAATATTCGAAAAGTTACAAAGTCCATGTTTCTTGTACTCGCTGTTCGTTTGCTCTCCCCAAGTTGCTCTCACCGTGAGCTGGTGCCGAGCACCAGAGAACTACTCCGGCCAGATCGAAGTCTCAGTTCTTTCCACCATCTGGCGGTCATTTCTCGAGTCACCCATCAAAAATTGATTCAAAGCATGACTTGTAGCTTCGGTTCTCCGGATCAATATAAAAGCTACGATTCCCGAAATCATGGCGTTTTACAGTAATTTGCTGATGTATATATCACATGAGCTCTAGTGGCGGGTCCTACTCAATCCAGCTGGCACGCTATACATATGATGCTATTGCGTGCGCCGCGATGTAGACACACTGATGCCTTGCCCGCGCGGCCCCTCAGTGCACAATTAGGTGGAGCTTATAAGACAATGTTGGATCGCGCAACCACAAGGATCATGGGACGGCGCAGCATCATGCATCACATTTAGCAATTGCGTGACAATCTGTCGCGTCCAGTGAACCGTCCAAGGAGAAAATGGATCTAGGAAGTACTTCGTCACTTGCAAGGATGTGCACGGAGTTTTTTAGGCAACCGGCTCATCCATTCACCAGACCGTTCTGTCCTGCTTGAAAAAACGTCAGATGGCGGCATTTGTTGCAATTCGAATATGTGTAAGCGCATCCTTCTCCCCCATCCTAGGTCTCACTGTGTCCTCAGGCCTATATAACGTTTTGAAGCCCGATGAAAAAGCTTCTTATCCCCAGCCTTGCGACCCTTCGGCTAACCTACCGTCTTCTCCTCGTTCTGCTCAACTTTGCCTCCTAACTCGGGCCAGACTTCTCAAGCTCGATAGCGGCACTTTTTTCAGCCTCGTTCATAATACCGTCTCTTCTTCCCTCTTCGTCCTTCTCAACTTCCACCTTTGCACCGCTACGTTCGCCCTCAGCAGTCAGCTTCTCCGGCCCCTGCCCGTCTTCCCTCCTTTCAGAACCCATCTCTTCATCCCGACGGCCCTTCTCCGCATGCTGACTCTCACCAGTCCCGTCCGCTTCGCTCCGCACTCCTTCCTCACTTCCACCCCCAGTTTCGCCAGCAGAAGGAACCCCCACCTCTTCGCCTTCAGCCCCACTGTCCGCCGCCGTTGTCTCGCAACCCGCAGCTTCTCGCCCTTCTCCATGTTTCACATCCCCTTCAGGACCGTCCTCGTTTTCTTTCATTGCATCTAGTGCAATCACTTGCGAAAGAGCCCTCGCTTCGACCTTGGCAGCGTCCCCCTCTTCGACTAAGCCCGTCGCCACCAGCGAGTCCGCTATCTCACCGGCCGTCGACTTTTCCCCCCCGTTACTACCAACGTCGGCGTCTGCGCCCGCTCGTGTCATCCCCCCCTCTGCAACGAGTTCCTTCCCCACCCCTTCGGAATTCCCCACTGCATCGTTTCCGTCTGCAACAGCACCCGCTTGCATGCCCCGTTCATCGTCGGCTTCTCCCTCCCCGGCTCCCTCGAGATCCTTCAGTGCATCCGTGATAGCCTTATCCTCATCTCCTTCTGCAGCGGCAGTGCCCGGTTTTTCTCCCCCGACCTGCTCCCCAGGGGCTGTCCCTGCCCCGTCCCCCTCGGTTCGTTCGACCGGGCCACCATCGTCCACCAGATCGACCTGCATCTCATCGACAGCGACCGGCCGTCCTTCTTCCGGCAGAGCCCCCTCTACCCCTTCATTCGGGCGTTCGGCTTCAGTAACTGGAGTTGGTGTGTCCGCATTGCGTGCCAACTCAAGCCCTGGGGCCTCCATTGTTTGTTGCGCCTCTTTCTCAGCCCGGGCTTGAGCGTTTACTATGTCCAGCTGGCAGAAGCAAAGGCGCCGATCATTCTCTGATCCTGGCTGGTGAATCTCTTCCTATGGCAGACGACATTGACAAACAGAGCGTGGTGCGCTGCTTGACAATAATTACTTGCTGCTGTTCAGGGCGTGTTAGGAACGTCCAGGTACTTAAAAAATCTGTAGATATGAGCACTGGAAAAACTCGCTCACAGATTTGCGTCACAGAAGGTGCTACACTGTTCAAATCTGAAAACGAGTATCTCAGACTGGTCCACCCTTTTTGCATCCACTGACTTGACTGAGCCAATCGAGCGGTTTGTTGATGCCACCTTTTTGAAGGCTTCCCTATGCCAGTTCCAAGAGTCCACAAGCTTTCTGCCGAGCGGTGTCCATGCAAGGGACTTACCGGCAGGAATCGGTACTTGCGAGCAGGCAAGTCTTCGGGTTCATCTTCCCTGTCGCCTGCGAAATTGATTGTTGAATTAAGCTCGATTGCAAGCTTCTTCGATACTTGTCGGAATAGCATGCCTCTGTACGACCCATCTTTCAACAACAAGCATCGGAACCAACACAATATTGACAAGCAAACGTTCGAGCAGACTTCGATCACATTGAGCCTTGACACTTATCATAGATTATGCGCAAATGGTACGGCAGATCACCTTCTCCTTGCAAATATTGCAGCAACCTTCAGAGCAAAGGGGTGCAGCCCGGCTCTACATTCCTCACAGGATTTCATTCTACCAGAAACTATAACTTGGAAAAAAGCTTTCGCCCCCACCATGAACGACAGCGTCCAACAGCATCATACTTGAGCAACACAATGGAAGTAACATTGATAAGCAGGAAGCAAGGGACCGCCCTATATGCTCGGTGCACTCGGTACCCAACTTCCAAAACCTCGAATCTGACGCCACCATTTGACGGCACTGCACAAGCTGCTAAGCAAGGCTGGCAAGCGGACGCACCTGAGACTGGCAGCCACTTGAACACTTGCAGCTTCTCCGAGGTACCCGACTTGGTCCATGTCTTCTGCCACTTTCGCACCCTCCCAGAGAATTGTACCGCTGGCCCATGCCGTGAGGATGACCGGCTGCCCATGCGTGTCGCTGTCTCCATTTTGTCTGTCTAGTTTTCCTTCCGCTTGCTGCTTTGTGCTTACTAATATGTCCTCCTTGGTAGCACTACACTGAAGTTGTGGCTTTAGCCCCTTTGCTGCTGGCAGATCTCTGAGCAAGATCACTACTCTGCTCCTCGCTCTTCCACGAGGAAAGGATGAGCGAACGACCCCTCAAAGACTCGAACACCCCCCTTCACCTGTGGACAGGAGTGGACACTTCTGATCCAACAACCACGAGGAAGACGAATGAGCACAGAAACTATCTACAGATCAGACGGGGAAAAGGCTCCACAAGTCACTCAGAATTGCTGTAGAAGTGCCTAAAGCGTCAATGCAAGCCCCTTATTCCACGGTCATGTTTGAGGCCGCCATAACTCTTGTATCCCACGTGATGTCCACTAATGGACGCGGCAGCCACACCTTCGCTGATCAGAAGAAAAGCCCTTCTGTTCTGATTGAGAAAGCGGTTCGAGTGGTCAAGGCTTCCTATCGCCGTGTTTTCCCACAGATTAGCGCCCCCCTTCTTACCAGCGAAGTAGGCAAAAAAAATTCCACAAATACAAGAACAAGCAGGTGACGGGCTGCTTTGCAGTTTATGCAGGTGATCAGTGAACCCCCAAACTTAAAGCGCTAGATTCACAATCTGGCATCCCCCTTCCATGCGCGACCATCCGGCGTCAATGCAGCGCCAGGTTTGAAAGTTGCGGTTTAGAGGCTAGAGGCTGCTTGTCCGATTTGAACTTCATGTGCCACTTGCCGCCCGATAGTTCATCTGAGCCGTCCGATCTCATTAGGTTTACAGTAGCTTTAGATGGGTTACTACCGGTAGTCAGAGACAGTGTCTCTAGAGAGGGAGTGCATGCTGTTCATCCGTGCTGAACTGTTCATGAACAGCCTGCTGATCAACAGTGAAGGAGAGAAGTCGTGAAAGCAACAGCCAACAGGAGAAAACCTGTGAGTGGGGACGTCAGGAGGACACTGAGAACATCCGGGTGCGTTGCTTGATTGTTTGCATCTGTCTGGCATCAGTGCAGGTTCCAGCACGCTGCAATGCCAGCAGAGTAGATTTGTTCAGTACAATTGCATCACATTGGAACGCACACCACTCACATCCCACAAGTTGACAGAACTGATTTGCGAAACTTTGCTATACTTTAGTTCTGCCTTTGCCAGAGCTTAATACAGGTTCTTCCACTGATTTAGAATGGCTGCGGGAGTTGCGATGGCCACGGTCGATGGCTTGCACGACGATCATGCTCCTACAGCAAACGTGAAGGCTGGGGAGCAGCGCATCCTAGATGGTATTACTGAGGTATGCCGCAGAGTACCACCTGGAGCGCACTGCATTGTCCTGTACTTCTGCATTGCCGCAAATTCAGGCCAAGTATATGGTTACGGATTACCACCATTGCAGCGAAGACCAACTTTTACTTCGAGTGTAAAAGGTGCTGTCACCAGCTGCTTACGCTACCCAGTGAGGCCTACCGATCCAGAGCCAGAATACTAAAATGACAGTGGATAGTCATGCATTTTGTGAGACCGACGCACCCACTGAGCAGTTCTTAGCAAGTTCCTTCTTTCACAATCACCACGGTCAAGGTGTACTACACATCAGGACCCAAACTGGGACAAAACCAGAATTATTTCGAAGACCAGCTCTATTGCAAAAGTCCGCTTCTGAATGACCATATGGGCCGAAGAATTGGCTCCAGTTTACAACGTGAAGGCTCGCTTGTTCTGAGCACGATAAATCTGGACATAATCACAAGTGCCCTTCTTCAGCTTTCTTTCTCGCTTCCTGACTTGAAAAGTGGCCTTCAAACGTGTCTCAATTGTTTGTTCACGCAGATGGTTGGGAACACGCCATTGGTGCGCTTGAAGCGGCTGACGGAGGGCGCCTATGGCGAAGTGTTGGTCAAGCTGGAGTTCCAGAATCCTGCGGGAAAGCGTCAAGGATAGGTGGGACATCTAACCCCTGAATGTATAAGCTTGGGTCATTTGGCATAGCGCAGATATCCAAGCTCCACTGTGTGAAGAAGCACTTAACATAACCATATAAAAGCAAGGGTTAGTGAGTTTTTCTTAAAGGTCCTCCCCCTGCGCGCCGATTGAGGAGCCTTCTCATCCAGTCTTAATCGGAATGAAAACACGCAAGCTGTGTTGCAACTTATTCCGACCTTTGCTCTTGAATCGATCAGACGCTCAGGAAGGGTACAAGCCTGGAGGGCTTCTTCCACCTGCATAGCAATAACAAAGAGCTGCATCTTTGCAGGATTGCAAAGGGCATGATCGAGGAAGCGGAGCAGAAAGGGGAGCTTATTCCTGGGAAAGTGAGGCTTTTTTATCGGAGGCTTTTTATCTGCAGCTACTTTGTTCCGCTTTCTGTTTGTATGGAGCATCCAGATTGGATCAAGCACTCTGGTAACATACAATAAGTACACAGGTGATGCTAGATATTTCCTACGAGTACATGGACTGTAACATGTCCTGTTAAGGACGTTGTGCAAAGATTGTATTCATCCCAGCGATCCACTTTCTGCCGATTTCTGGCAGTCTAGAGGACCGGGGCAAGATGAAGAAGTGGCCTAACTTGGACATTCAATTTCCGGTTATCGAGAATGTTATTAGTTCATCATTTTCCAAGATGTGCTATCTCAACGTCATCTCATCATGATCTACTTTCAGAATCTGGTAGTGGGTTCACGGACGCGCTCCGAGCAGGTTCCAGAGAGTAAAACTACTCTCAGGATGCCTAATCTTCCAACTCTCGAAGGTTTGCGCCAGACACTTTGCTCTTACGCAGGCTTCTCGCAAGGATAACGAGCAGGGTCAAAACTTGGGACATTTCATCTTTGTACTGGAAATTTAGTTGTCCCACGGTTGTGCAGTAGTCTTTCGTAATCTGGTGTGGAGGGCTTCTCGAAGGGACCTCTTGAATGGAGATACTTGTTTGTCGTTTCATGTTCGTAACTATCTTTCCGTTGTTTTGTTTCTCTTTCAAAAGGATAGAATGTCTCTGTGCTGCAGAGCGTGATTGTCGAGGGCACGAGCGGGAACACCGGCATCGGCTTCGCTGCGATGGCGTGCGCCAAGGGTTACCGGCTGATCCTCGTGATGCCAAACTCTGTCAGCCTCGAGCGGCGCTTCATCATTCGATCCTACGGAGCAGGTGAAGCCCTAGAAATTCTCCTTTCCCTATCTTTCCTTTCGGTTGTGCCATTGAAGTTGCTTTCAGTTGCTTTTACTGAGATTAAGAAAGCTGATAAAGCCGGGGAGGGGAAAGGAGAAAGTCGAAGCCCGTTTTTTCAGTCGTTTGTGAGTATGCCACAATCGTTTGTGGGTGTGCCACAGCGACCCATTGGCCCACTTCGACGGTTTCTGGTCGCCGAGGCGTAACGGGTCTCAGGACGTCCTCTTTAACCGCCAAGGTTCGATGGTGACGGAGGTTGTGCGCAGACATACGGAACTGTTGGGTGTTCATAGGACGCAGAACATTCAATCGGCACAAACTGAAAAGGGCGCTTTCAGCCGCGATCCGCTTAAAAGAGTCAGCGCTGTTGATGTCAGACGTTTCCTAAGACGCATGATAATGGTTTGAGCGGGCTCTGGAAGTACAGAGCTGGTGCTGAATGACGTTACTTCGATGATGGTGTTAACGGACACTTTTGTCGACGCACAGAGTTGGTGTTGTGAGTTTTCTTGGACGATTGATATTGGTGTGAAAGGACTCTTGAAGTACAGAGCTGGTGCTGACGGGACAATACTTAGATGATGGTGTTAACGGGCTCTTTTGTCGCAGCGCAGAGCTGGTGTGTGAGACGTTTTCTTAGATGCATGATAATGGTGTGAACGGGCTCTCGATGCACCGAGCTGGTGCTGTTGGGCGTTTCTTAGACGCATGATGATGGTGTGAACGGGTTCTTGAAGTACAGAGCTGGTGCTGCCGGACGTTACTTAGTTAATGGTACGAACGGACTCTTTTGTCGACGCACAGCGTTGGTGCTGTTGGGCGTTTCTTTGACGCATGATGGTGGTGTGAACGGGCTCTTTCTTCGACGCACAGAAGCTGGTGCTGATGGATGTTTCTTAGACGCAGATAATGGTGTTAACGGGCTCCTTCTCTGAAGTACAGAGCTGGTGCTAACGGACGTTTCTAAAACACAAAACACTTGGTGTGAACAGATTTGGTGCTGATGGACGTTTCTTAGACGCAGATGATGGTGTTAATCGGCTCTTTTTCCGACGCGCAGAGCTGGTGCTGATGGACGCCGCGGTAGGCATCAAGGGCATCCTGAAGAAGGCACGTGACCTGGCCAACGAGATCCCGCACGGGTGGTACTGCGACCAGTTCGACAACCATGCGAACCAACGGGTAAGAAGCACGTTGTCACGAGGGTCTCTAGAACAATCTTAGGCGCACTAGATGTTTTTCATATGCAAACCATGGAGAATCAGCTGCGGTAAGAAAAACGCCCTGAAAAGGATTCTCCCCATTGCGCAGACTCACTATCACACCACGGGCCCCGAGATCTGGCGCGACACCGCCGGCAAGGTTGATTTCTTCGTGGCGGCTGTGGGAACGGGGGGAACGATCACGGGCGCCGGGCGGTACCTCAAGGAGCAGAACCCCGCCATCAAGGTCAGCTTTGAGCCCTTTCTGAGATTGCTAAAATCAAGGTTTCGGCGGGTCTGCTTCAACTTGCATTCCGGCGGCTTCCCTGTCTTTGCTCCAGGTTGTGTTTTGGCGGGACTCGTTCACCTGCTCCAAATCATGTTTCGGCGGAATCCGTTTGTCTCCTCCAACTTGACTTTCGGCGGACTTCATTTACTTGATCCGAATCGTGTTTCGGCGGACTCCGTTCATCTGCGCCAAGGTGTGTTCCGGCGGCTCCTCGTCCACCTGGGCCATCCCATCTTTGATTCCAGATTGCTCTGAACCAGTTTCTTGAACGCGTGTCTCAGTGAAAATTGTGGCTGGAAAATCTCTTTCCCTTTCGGTAGCCTTAGCTCGTGGGCTTTTTGGCGGGAACCCTTTCGCTCTGTGTAATTTCCACGAGCAGGGTACCTTTTGCAATGAACTGAACGAAGTGACACTTTGGAACGGCCTGGAAAAGCGACTGGACTTTACGATGCAGGAGCAGACTCTTATATCGAGCAGGTTGACGAAGCGTTCCGGACACAGATCGCAGCAGCGTGAAAGCAGACTGTCGTTCCTTTCTCTTCGTCATCTGTATGCCCTTGATCCTCGTCCTTTTGTCTTGGTCTTCCGTCTTTCTCACCTCTTTCCGACCCGTTCGTCCTGGCCCGTTTGCTCCGCCCCCTTAAAGCATTCCCTCTTGTCTTAGGCCGCAAAAAGTCCTCCACGCATCGGTCACTACTGGGGAGAAGTAACTTCACCGGAGCTTTGTCAGGCTTGGGTTACATGCCTGTTTTAAATGGAGCGGATTAGCGCCTGGTATTGCCCGGTAACCAGTCTTGGATCAAAAGCAAAATCGTCACAAACCACCGTTGGTTATCGCCCTGTAACCGGTTCAGGAGCGAAATCGTCTCAAATCTCGTTGGTGATCGCCTCGTATGCAGTCTCGCGTAAAGAGCAAAAACGTCACAAATGTCGGGGCGGACGGGGACCGCTTATAAGTGCGCGAGCAGAACGTACGGCTAAAGGAAGAACGACTACGGGGGGGTTGTCGGGGAAGGTCAGCGGACGCTGCTCGGGCGTGGCGGCGTTACTGAGATGTTGGATCACACACAACCGTCATTGCTATCGAGTCTAAGGTGCCGGGTTGATGGGGTTATGAGAGGACGGTTAAGATACGACGGAATCACATCCTACTTTATAAATACAGAAAAGTAATAATCGCCGCTGAGTTATGGCATTGTTGCAGGTTGTGGCGGTGGAGCCTTCAGCCAGCCCGGTGCTGAGCGGCGGCAAGCCGGGGCCGCACAAGATTCAGGGGATGGGCGCGGGGATCCTCTCGCAGAACATGGACCAGCCGTTGTTCGACGAGATTATCCAGGTACGCGGTTGAGGTAAAATCCCTCACATCTATGGCAAACAGAACTCATCAAAGAATCAAACGTTTTTGCGGCATTCCCCGAAGAAGAGCGAAGCTATAAGACACTGCGCACTTTAAAGACATTCGATTAATGCTGTGGAGCAGAAATGAAAATAATCCTCTTATTAGGCCGTCAGCGATGAAAACAATGATAAACGCCGAAAGTGCTTGGTCCTTTGACACTCGTACAACAGGGAAGACTCGTTGCAGAGGGGAAGTGCCGCTTAGTGCAAGATTTACAGAACGGAGCGACCGTTAACTTCAGCTTCTGACGAGCTTGCAAGTTGTGGTGATCCACAAAGCACCGAATCGTGCGCAGTTCATTGTGTCCACATATGAGCGGTTGTCATTCGGAAGATGGTCGGTACCTAGCAAGTCTAGTGTTGAAGGGGCAAATGACCCGGAACCAGTCTGCACTGCGGTGTGCGATCAATTCCCAGCCAAGTCGCCAAAGGTGATGTAGGGTACCTAGTCTTACAGGTTCCAAAGACTCCTGGTACTGCTTGCGCCTCCGCGTCAACGAGGCGGTGCTCGACCTCTCTCAATACACCACAGGGATCTCTCCTTAAAAACGTATTACCCCCGTTCATCTCTTCGAAGAAAGCTGATCGCAAACTTCCCACCGTGGCCGACGCCTTCCCTTCCGAAGAAGCGAGTCTCAGGATCTCCTATGCCTTGCAGGATATGTTCGTTAACGTTGGGGCGAAAATCGAAGCCCGTGAACCTCAAGCCTACGTTTCCACTGCTTTGCGGACTGAGTTCTTCAATCTTGTCGAGATTTAAGACTTGTTCAAGCCCATTTATCCACAGGTTGCTGACAGCGACGTTTTCGACATGGCCCGCGCCTTGGCTTCAAAAGAGGCGCTCCTGTCAGGGATCTCGGCGGGCGCCAACGTGCTTGCGGCGCTCCAGATCGCGCGGCGGCCCGAGAACAAGGGCAAGCTCATAGTGGTGAGGCGGACACCTTTAGCGGGTTTTCCGGCTGAGCGTTCTTGGCCAGACGTATAAGGAGCAACAGCGGCGCCAAAAGATGCTATTGAGCGATCCAGTCATCTGAATTGATCTCGGAGGGGCGTGGAGGCACGGGACATGATGTGGAGTTTAGGACAAGAGTGCAAAATTCTTGCGGGCGCAAGACGGATGCTCTGAACAATCACAGGGAAGCGAAGGGAAGAGATGGCTGGTCGAGTGATACGTCTGATTGCTCTCGGGTTTGTCGCTTGCAACATGACCCGGCTACTCTTCTTGTAAAAGTTGTCCTCTCGGTTTATGTATGTAGGTTACCACCAGAATAAATTCGAACAGCTTTGCTTTTCCTGACATGTTTGCCCTTCTGCTTTTGCAGACTGTCATCCCTAGCGGGGGCGAACGCTACATCTCCACTGGGCTCTACGACCATCTCCGCGACGAATGCACAAACATGCCGCTCACTCCCCTGGAGTGACCGTTGGCGAATGAAAGAATGTACGCCAAGGGCGTACGATTTTGTACGAGGGCGTTCTCGATCGGGTTGTAGGATCAGACAAATTGTTTGAACTATTCGTTGATCAGTGAGCACAAAAAAGCCCTCTTTGGTACTAAGCTTGGCGGGAGTCTGCTTCAGGGTACACTTAGTCTTGCGGATTGTCAAATGACGGTTGGTGCGAAATTTACGAGACAAGCAGGGAAAACCAGAGTCGGGTTCGCTGTCGTTATTGCATTATACCTCCAGAGATAGCTAGAACAAGCGGCGGACTTCAGATCTAGTAAGCAACTTGAAGGGCGCTGCGCTACTGCAAACAATATGCTTTCCTAAAGTAGCACTGCCTCATGCTAGAAAGAGCTTACTTGCACTACATATGAGCGGCAGCTCGCTTGAGGACGAAGTCGGGGTCGTGTGTCTAATTAACGACCGTCGCCACGTTGAACTTGCAATGCACTCCGTGCATCATCGATGCATATCCAACTTACGAGCCTGCGCCCCATGCAGCTCGGCAACTATGTACAATTGATCCGTCTGGCATGCCCTTCATGATCAGCATGTGCACCACGAAGCTAGCTGATGCATGCAATTTGGCTGGTGAGCCTGCATGATCGAAGGGAGAATGGCGCGACGAAATAGCGAATAACACCATATCTAAGTTAGCATCGATCCTACTGATGTATACATCGTATACTGTACTGCTTATATATATCATATTGAATTAGATCACCTTCGTGACTTTGGGCTATGACACCCACCGTCACATATGCGTCTGGCAGAAATCGAACCTAGAATCTATGTAATCGGTGTACTAAGCTCAAGCCTGGATTGAAACTTAGCTCCCGGCATCGCGCCGGCCCCCGCGGCACGGATTCGTCTCTGTTTTGCAAGCCGCGCCCACATGACAGTACTGATGCAGGCTTTACATGGACTGTCAGTGAATACTCTGGCATTTCCAATTGAGTCAGAAGCGACCGTAGACCCCGAAGGCAACCCAACTCTGCTTAATTCAAACACAAGGACTCGGTCCAAAATCGCAAGGTGACCTGCTTTGAAGTTATGCGGCCGCAAGATACGATTCGTCCATCAATATGAAAACCTATACATGTTCGCCATAAAGTTTGGCCTCTTCCTGGGCCCTAGTCTAACAATCTATGCATCCCGCAGAGGCCCCCAAACACTTTGTACAGTGAGAAAGTCCCGGCAACCGTCCTTCTAGACCACAAGCTGCTGTTTTATCTATATACAAAAGCAAGCAGTCTCCGTCTGCAAAACATGCACGTCCGTGGATCTTCTGAACTGATCTCTTCCATGTGGTCTACGTCAACTATATCTGCAAAGACTCAACTTCAGAGTGCGGCTACCCTCTCATCAACCCTAGCTCAGACACCCCCTCTGTCGCGCTTCGATTTCCGGCTGATGTCAGCATACGGGCCTCCCATAAGCTCGTGAACCTGCTCCCATAGCACCACCCCTGACCGCCGGCTTATGGTCCCCTCGGCTTGCTCGAGGCTCAGGGGGTGCGTGATGATGTCAGCGCTGCACGCCGCCAACTGCCAGGTTCCCTCACGAAGCTCCCGGGCCAATTGTCCCCGACCCCACCTGCGGGGAAAAAGGAAACTAGCTATGAGAGAGACAGAACCCGTGTCAAATATTAACGTCCGACAGTGAAAGCGAAAGTTGGATTGTACCTGAGCGCGGAGCAGATGAAGTATGGCTGTGAGGTTCCAGTGTGCCTAAGCAATTAGTGAGACTGATTGTCCACGCCACTTTTATGTCAGTATGGATGGAACTGTATGCATGAGAGAGGACACACGAGGTGAGGCTCAGGGCCACAGGAAGGTTCTCCGATGATGAAGAAGGCCAAAGTTGTAGTTCGACAACATCTGTCGAGTCCATGCAAACTGCAGTGGCTACCTATATAGCCGTTTGGCTGTTGCGAAGAGTACCAGTACTTGACAACGCCAGGAAAGGTACATAGCAAGTTTGTCCGGTTATGAACACGAGCGAATTCTGTGACTCTTGCTATTGCAACTGGGAAAAATAACCTCTTTTCCACATACCCGGCGTAACCAACACAGAAGCGGAAGCTGGACGCTTTGGCCTTCCCAGCCGCGATGAGGTCCGAAAGACGCCAGCACGCTGCCGGCTCCCCGAAAAACACACCAGGGACTACCTCCTCGAACCCCTCGACATTGGTCTCGCCCGAGACCGCGAAGATCTTGCCCTGGCTGATGGGGCCACCTAGGTAGACGCGCTCATTTCCAAAGCGCTTCTGAAAGGGCAGCGGGAGGCGCGGCACTTTTTCGAAAGTGAAGGGCATGGCGTGGTTCAGGATGATGCCGAATGTGCCCTGCGGAAGAGAAAGGGGGAGTGAGGGGAGCTCGAGGAAAAGTACTTGCATCTCTTGTGAAAGTTCCTTGCTTTGAAGGGAGAATGCAAGATTTCAAGTCGAAACAATCGAGTCAATGGAGAATGTGTCTTGCAGGGTGGGAAGACCGACGTCGCCTTCAGAGTCTCGTTCCAACACATCTTTCCACCATTAAATCCTAGTTTCAAACCCCAGGTGACACAACTACTTACCTCGTCTGAATGGTCAAGCACCAGAATGACGCTCCTGTCAAAGTAGTCGTCCCCGTCCAGGATCGTCGACGCCAGCAAGAGGCAGCCTTTCTCCGGCTCCTCGATCGCGTGCGCCCACTCCCGTCCCTGGATTCGGACGGCCTGTGGTGGCTCGTCGTCCGACGGGTCCGAAACGGACAGAGTCGTTGGGGCCGGGCTAGTCTGTGCTTTGGCCTGGTGTTCTTGCGCGACTAGCTGGGCGCGAAAGGTGCGCCAGTCGGCTTTGAGAATCGGGGGCGCGTCCTGTTGCAGAGTTAATTAGCGGTAAAATCTACGTTTTCATACTCTATGAATTTCAGACCAGATTTTGAGCTGGGGTACGAAGGGGTTCTCCAGGACCAGGCTGTGAGCTTTAGTGGCACAAGTGTAAGTAAGATGGCTGTGAATTACGAGAGTCCTTGCAAAGGAAGGAGCTCAAGCGACGAGAGTGGGCTAAGTGTGGCTGTTTTCCTGAATCTAGGAATATGGCTGCCAACAAGAGGAGGCGGCGCGCGACCGAAGTTGCACCACATTGAAGTTGCCTCCCATTTTGTGAAGTAGTCCTCTGAGAAGCAAGTCTCTAAGTTTAGTCCTCTACTTTGAAAAATAGTACAGTGTGGCTCCTTGCACAACCAAACAGAACTTACGCAAGCGCATGTGAGAAGAGGCTTCAAGAATGGGTAATATGAATTTAAAACCAAGAAGAGGACACTTGTCAGTGAAAGGGACAGTTTATGAGGGGAAGTTACCTCATCAGAAGCTGGCTCTGAGCCAGACCCCATGCGGCCCCCAGACTCCGCATCACTGTTGTCTTGCTTCGCAGCCGCACACCAATTTCTTCGTCGCTGACACCGTTCATGACCTACAAGATGCAACAATGTACCACGTTCTTGCATGCCGGTGCAGCATGCCAAAGCAACTTGCAGTCTGCATTTCCTTGAGCCAATTGTTTCGAAGACAGTCTGCATCCTCCTCACCCAATTGCATCTTTCAATTCCGCAAAAGCCTAAGACTGGTTTGTGAGTTGCACATTAAGAATCAACGTACTACCATAGGAGCAGGTAAATTCTACCAGGGGTTTTGAAGGTATGACTTTTGATGCATCTGTATCCTGCCTGGTTGAACGTGTACAACCATCTTTGACTTTCTACTTCAACCAGTATTTCTCTGTTCAACCAGCTGCTTAGCTCATACAAAAGGTTCTTTCACAGCAGAGCGCAAAATCACTTCATTCACAAGCAGTTCGACGCGCAGAATGAAGTCAAGGAGAGGCGAAAGCCCATTGAAAACAACAGTCCCATGTCAAGAGTATGTGTCTAAGCGGATTGTCCTTCCGAGCTGCTTAACTGCAATTCCAATTGAAAATCTGCCCTGAACAGCTACAATTCGTTCATAGAGACATTGTACATGAAAAGGGATTGGTAGACCTTGCACCTCGTTCCAAGCGTTGCTGTTGAGACGCCTTTCGCATTGGCAGCTGCTGACTCCGCTGCCTGAACACCTTCCTGATAAGAGCTTCGCATTGCACTGAAGCACAACAGTCCTGCCCCTCCAGGCTTCTGTACTCAATCAGTCGCCCTATTTGTCGCCCACAGTTGAACACAACTGATGAGGTCGCCATGCTCATTGAAGAACCCAGGAAAGCGCCTGAGCCACAACTTCCAGCTTTTAGTACCTAGTAGATTGTACTGCTGCACGAAAATCAGCTGGTTGACCTGCTGATTTTAAGAAATGCATGTGCTCAATGCCCTATGTGGCCTCCATCTGCGCCAATCTCTCAACAGGCGGCCAAATTCAAAGTTGCTTTCTTTTCAAAATTCAGTCTCAAGTTGAAGGAGTTCTTCCACTTCTTGCCTTCTTGCCTTCAGAGTATCAATATTCTACATATATGAGGTTGCGGAATTCTTAAATCCCTCAGTTTTTGCCACCTGAGTTCGCCCTGACTTCGACGGAGGCCTTCGACAGAAGAGTTCGAAGAAGCTTCTTTGACATGATATCAAATTGAAAAGTATATCGTGTAGCTGTTCTTGGCTCGACATCGAACGTTTTGATACTCGAAAGTTAGGATAACCGGTTGACGTACCGAACAATAGCCAAGCCGTTAAATACCATCTAGGTACAATTTACAAAGCTTCTACGCACTTCGGCTTCTTCACAACGGAGACTCATAGGGTATTCGCACCTAACATTTTCCGGCTGATCTGTTCTTTTCTCGCGGGTTTCTTGCGAGTTCTCGTCGATTCTGGCCATTTCGGCCGCAAGAAAACTGACAGGCAACTTTTTCTTGTGGCGGCTTTTCTTGCCGGTTCTTGTGTGATGCATAGCTTATGCAGTTCACCCGCGTATGGTCGACTTTGGATACCATCGACGCCGTCCGATTGCCGTCCGGTGCTAAGATCGAAGCCATATCCAGCCGTTCGATCACAGCAATTGGGCCGGGCAGAAAAGACTTGAGCAGAGTACAGCCCGGTGCGAATAACCGGTCTTTTCTTGCCTGTTCTGGCTGTTTTCACAAGAAAAGCGGCAAGAAAAGATCCACAAGAAAAGTTGAAATCCTTTAGGTGCGAATAAGACTGGTGCGCCCTATTTCGGATGTTTTCGATTCCGGACGGGCAATGTTCGATCCGATTTTCGGACGGGTAAAACCAGGGTTTCACTCAGTGAAATTGCAGTCGATTCGATACCGTTTTATTGCCAGATCGGAAAGTGGCCACGTCATCAAGCCGCGTTTCGATTTGCGAATAAAAAGCTATCGAACAGACTGCAGCTTCACAGAGTCAAACCCTGGGTTTACCCGTCCGAAAATCGGATCGAACATTGCCCGTCCGGAATCGAAAACATCCGAAATAGGGCGCACCAGTCTTACCCTATCAGACTCAGAGTTCCTGCCTAGCCTGCTCAGTTGCTGTCGCCTACACGAATTTCTAGCGGGCATTCTTTGTCTCCATACATCCCTTTTTGCATTGTCATCTTAAAGTTACAGTGCCCCTTCTACCATGGACCTTTTAGGAAGTTACGGCAGCGATGCGGAGAGCGATGCCTCCGATGACGAACAGCAACCTCCCCAGAATGCTGGTCGAGCCATCCTCACAGCACCTGATCCCAGCCCTACCGACTTTAACGAAGGCGCCCCCTCTCAAATCACAGGACTCACTAGAAAAGGTCTCTTTAGTGCGCTGCCTCCTCCTAGGGGCAAGAGCGACGGAATGCCTGAAGAAAAGTGGAGGAAGGAGGGAAGCAGGTGAGATGCCACAGTGTGACTTGCATTGTTGCGTGCGGATGAATCTCAGCGCGGCTTGATGTTGTAAAACGGTTTTGCCTGAGAAAATTGGCACAACAGGACAGAAATAAATAGTTCCATCGAAGAACGATGTGCTAGTGGTATTAACTATGGTTTGACAAATGGAATGGCAGGGTCCCTCTTCTGCCGACGCTTGATGGCGCCACGCCATTTCAGCTTGAATTTAAATCTTGTGTTTCTTCCTGGCTCTTTGATCACGTTGAGGTGTTCGCAGGGAATGGCATTTGGTTTTCAAGTGTCTTGCTTTGACGGTGCCCTTTGTTCAGTGGACTAAGCAATCGCCAGAACAAAGACTCTAATCAGTTCAGGTGTCTCACCTGCTGCACTCTAGTAGAGAAGAAAAAGTGGTCTGTGCTGGAACAGCCAGAGAGTTTCCTTTCATGCGCCCCCGCCTACCTTTCTCTTTAGCCTTTTCTTTTGTACCACAGGTCACTCTTTGCTGCTCTACCGCCACCAAAGGCGTCCTTAGAGCGCCCCCCCATTGTGGATCTGCAAAGCGATCTGGCGCTAGGTACAACAAAGCCCCCGACATTGCTCCCCCCCAAAAGAGGCGTTGTGCAGTTCCGACCACCGATTGACACGTCGTATCTGACCAAGGCTGATGATCGAGATGAGGATACCTGGCAGCCTCCCAAGAAGAAGGTCAGGCGATTTTACCACTAGTGCCATCTTCCGTGTCTTCCTTCCTGGGATTTGCTTAGCCCGTGGAACTCGCACAAAAGTCGAACTTTAAGAGTTTCATTGTCTGGCTTCAGAGGACTTTAGATTTGGTCAAAGGAGACGGGCTAAATGTCTCTCGCTGTCTAAGGGCCAGTCGAAATCAAATACCTTTCCTGACTTGGTGGACAACTCTGAAAAAGAAGACCTGGGTGGATGGCTTGTTTCTGCAGCAAACTTTGTAAAGACAAGCCTTGGAGTGAGAGATTTATTCCGTGTTGTCAGAGACCCACTGCTTACACGCCGTTTTTCGATTTTCAGGGACGGACGGCTGAGGTCGCGGACGAAGCGCCGGCAGAGAAGAAACCGACCAAGTCATCTTTCGCCTCCTTCTTGCCCCCGCCCAAAAACAGCTTGGGGGCTGGAAACATTCTGGGGGGAGGCGCCGTCGGCGGCCGAAAAATGGCCATGGACACGTCAATTGGTTCAGAGTCTCTTGATGAGGGCCCACGGATACAGCTGGACCCCATTGAAAAATCCACTCTGACTGGTGCGGCCGTAAATGGCTCAGCACCTGTGCGAGAAGACGGTGTCAGTGGAAACGGGGGGCTTGCAAAAGCAGGAACGGAAGAGTTGGGGTACCCTGCAAGTGAGGGTCATACTCAGGCTGGGTACGGAGCTGCCGCTGAGTCCAGCTATGCATCAAACGGGGCTGGTCTGCCTCCGACATTCGAGCAACCCGGAGTCTCCTTCGGTTATCAGCAGCCGTACCAAGCAGGGACTTCGTACGACCCCTACGGTCAAAGTTACGTTGCGCCTCAGTATGGGGGGGCGAACACGTGGCAGCCCGACGGGCCGCCAGGTGGCGGCGTAGCAGCGCCCCCGGTGGACCTGCTCACAGCGAAGCTTATGGAAGAGGAGGCGCGGGCGATGAGGAGGGGCGGGGGGAGGGCGAGCGGGGCGCAAGTTGTCGAAGTAAGAGCTGAAACTCCTAACAAGTCGCACGATTCTCTTGAGCACGTTTCTTCGAGGATAACAAAGTTGAAGGCTTTGTTATTCATGAATGTTCCCTCTAAGCAGACCCTGAGGACTACCGGCCACAGGCGCCAGGGAAAAGAGCCGGAAGCATTCTGCCTTCAATTCAACGAGACGTCGGGTGCCTTGTTCAAGGCTGTAATCTGACTTGTAGGTTGAAATGTAGTCTTTGCTTTGGTGGCATTTCTTCTGGTCGCCTTCTCGCTCACCTTTCTATTTCAACTGATCCCCAGAGGCTGTGACATCCTTGGTGTATTCATTCTGGCCTTTTACAGGGGTTCGGAAGGAAGTGGCCGGATAGCTGGTCAATTGTAGCGCGGGATACGGTTCTGCCTTCTTTGCGCCGCCCGTCGAGCTCAGAGGTTTCAAAGCTTTGAGAACATTGTCACGGTGCACAGAGCTGCCCTTAAACAGTCCAATAAGTCGACTTCATATTCCAGTTCACATCAACGTTGCAATCCACTTTGTTATTACAGGTATGAGCAATCAAGTCGGTTAGGTATTTCGATTCAACCTCGCATGCTTGAGAAACTTGATGATCCTTAAACTTACTGAGAACGACTTTCCAGATGTGTGTCATTTTTCCATCTGGAAAGTCTGCCAAAATATCATCCAGACGCTATCCAGAAGTGGAAAACTCGTGCATACCGACTGTGCTTAGCAATATGCGCAGCGCTCATCTTGGAATTCAGAGCGCTTATCCTAAAAGTTTGAGCGCCTATCCTGAAACATAAGCCTTGGTCTGCAGGTCAAGCAAGCGGATATTACCCCCGGCACGTACAGGCGGGAGGACATGCTCAAGACGTCGACATTTGGCCCACAAGCGCAGCCAGTGTCGAGCGCAAAGGACGCAGGGCCGGGGAAGATGGAGAGGCGGAAGCACCAGATCAGCTCGCTCTACGCCGACATGAAGAAGAAAGAGATGGAGATGGTGGACTCACGGGCTACGGGGATGCAGACGAAAGCGCAGACGAAGGGGAAGTATGGGTGGTAACCAATTGAAACGACATTCGCTTTTGCAAGTCAACTGGGCACTCGCGGGAAATGAGCCCCTTGAGAGCGTTGCTGACTCCATTATCGCTGTGTCAGTATGTTTGCAGCACTGAAGTGTACGCTCTTCTCTAACATCCAAGTATAAGCCTGCTTTCCATGTCACCTGACAAATCGTCTGCACGAGCTTGTACAAAACATGCAACGTGACGTTCACCCATGCGGTTGATCCTATTCCGCATGGCAACCGATGCACGAAGAGTATGGCTCTCGGAAGTACCTAGAGCCAATTGTAAAGTCCCCATGCCGGATCCAGCATGCAGTCAGCATGCAGTCAAAAAGGGCTCAGTCGCAAGCGAGATTACATGCTACTCGTGACCGGCCGGGCGGCATGGTCGTTTGAGTTTGAAAGACTCCAATCTATCATGAATCGGAAGTTAGCCCGTATTCTTAACCGTCCGTCGGTCGACAGGCGGGTATACACAACTCCGACGGTTGTGGTTGAAGGACGGTTAAGCCTAGCTTGCTAGCTCTTAGCTTTTGCAACTCGTCGAGCCGAAATTACTTATGGTGCTGCGTGGCACTAGCTGCATATCGCTCAGCTAGATCATTCCGATCATTCAAGTATAATCTGATTGAAACCGTGGGTTGAAGCATGCTTAACTGAGTGCATGAATTCGACGGTAGTATATAAGCTAGCTGCTTTATATATTGCATGCCGCCGTACGTCGCCGACTCGTGCGACTTGAGCCATCACGCAAATTACAACGACACGGACCATGAGAGCCCCTGTCTATCACTCGCGGCTTGAGAGGATCATATATCAGAAAGCAATGATTCTATAGTATGATCGTTAGCTCTGCATTCACTCTAGCTAGCTTTAGTGCGGACCATCGATTCGAGTCAAGTCCCGCACTGAGCCATCATTGCTGGCCCAAATAACGGATCAGGTGTTGATACGCGCGCTGAATATTTAGACGCATGTGAGGCATGGGCACGGACTTCAGAACCGGAATTTTGAGCGTTCAAAGGCGGCCGCCTCTTCTGGTAAATGCACCCAGATAAAATCAAGGCCTGAGGACAGTAAAGTCTATCTCAATAAGGCGTGCTAATCACCTAATCACTGACAAGTGTTAGTACCTCAACTAGTCCAATATTTCGATGAATTAACGGTGTCTTTGACAGCATATTACCTCGGTCCTTCATAATAACGTCAGGTCCGCCACCTAAGAACCCCAGCCTCGCTCACAGCTTTATCCGTTGCACCTTTTCTAGTACCGTTCGGCCTTATCCGGGGCGGCTTTATCAACAGCCGTGAGTACTCTGTCAGCAATGTCTTGACGTAAAGCTCCCACCGCCCGTTTGCTATAAAGCGGTTAAAGCTCGAAACTAAGTTCTCACTCATGGCGCGCATCTCGTCGTCGTGGTCAACGGCGTATTGGATCTTTTCCGGCAGGTCCGAGCTATCGGATGCGACCGGAATATAATGCTTGTAAGGAACAAGAAACTCGTTGAAGTACTCAACGTAAGGGGTTTCAATTTTGAAGATAACGCAGCCCGTCGAGAGGAGCAAAATAAAGCGGGAGCTCCACGCGTTGCCGTCGATGTCAATGAGGAACTTGTGCTTGATGTAGTCGGGGTACTTGAACTGGGAGCCGCCTGTACCAGACGACGTCAGAGAGACGTCATTAGATCCTCATCAGATTGTTCCATAGATTCACTTTTCATGGCGGACCAACGGCAATGAGCAACTGAAGTCGGGTAATATGTCCAAGTCAATTTCTGCTTCTCGCGCAGAAAAGTGGTCGAAGATGTTGCTGTGGTTCGCAGGCCGTAAGACTGCAAAGATGGACAACGTCGGAGGACGGCCCTCATGTAGAAAACACATTCAAACAATTTAATCGACCTGCCTTTCCATGCTCTAGCTGGGGAGAAGGATTGTGCGGTCCAATGCACTGCCTTTAGTCCAAACTGCCCTTCAGGCGAAAGCGCTCTGCGGTTCGAGGACAGGTGGAAATCTTTTGTGCGTTGACCGCACGCACGATTAAACCGTCGTTAAGGACCTAAACCGAAGATTGTTAACGAGAAAGGTTACCTGTGGGCAGCTCCCGTTCCATCGCGGCCCATGCCTCGTCGTGGCACTGCCCCGGGGCGCACGGCATCATCCGGGCGTCGACCAGGTCCGGGTAGTGCTTCGTCGTGTTCACCTGGAAATAAGAGGATGAACAATTCTTTTCATTTGTAAGAGGACAGCAGACTGGGCGAAAACATGGCCGGTCAGAAAGGGGTGTTTGGTTGGGAAATATTGGCCACGACGAGACGGCTACTCAGAGAGGGCGTCAACCAAGTCCGGGTAATGCTTCGTCGTGTTCACCTATGGACGAGAGAGGTTGACCCAATTCTATCCACTTGTAAGACGACAACAGACTGGGCGATGATAGGGCAGATCTTAAGGGGTGTTTGGCTGGAAAAATAGTGGCCACGACGAGACGGTTACGCAGAGAGGGCTTCGACAAGGTCCGGGTAGTGCTTGGTCGTATTCACCTAGGAGTAAAGGATGGCCCAATTATTTCACTTGTAAGAAGACGGCGGACTAGAAAAGCAGATTTGTCGAATGGTTGAGGAGCGAGTGCCTTGAGTAGAGCTGATCATGCTTGGTTGCCTTCACTTGGGGACGGGAAGATGGCCACCTGAGGAGAGGGCGCGATAATGGCATATTGGGCGGTTATGAAATGCTTCAGTGGGTGCCTTGAGTAGAAATGGTCTTTTCCCCGTGCACTTGAAAACGTGACCGAACCGAAAGGGGTGTTTTGACTGGGAGAAACTGGGCCACGACGAGACGGCTACTCAGAGAGGGCGTCGGGTAGTGCTTGGTCGCGTTCACCTGGGAAACAAGCGGGAGGCCAACTAAGGAGATGTGCGAGAATCCAACCTTTGAGCAAGTGGGCGCTTTGGGAACGTTTCTCGAATTGAATGGCCTGGATTGATTGGGACGTATTCGATGAGGGAGCCAGATGAGAGTGGTCCAAGCCAACAAAGGACAAAAGCAAGTTCCTTAGATCGAGGGGCTCGATAAGAGGTCTCGTGTAGAAGAGAACTTGACTGACAAGATGAATCAGATGGAAACGAAAGCTTCACCGAGGATCTGTCAGTCCATTTGCACCAATCGGTACCACGGTCCCCGCGGCCCAAACCGCGGGCCTACTCCAACCAGCTGTAAACCAAAGCAACGCCCTACTTGCATCACCTCTTTCAGGGGCGCATTCTCACCAGCTGATAGCGCTGCTTTTGCTGGTAGTTCTCCCTGGTGTACAGGCCCCCCGTGGGGGATCCCCGCCAGATGGCCGGCGCGCCGATGCGCTCCTCCCACTTCTGAGCCTTGACGGCCTCGAGATCCACGTCCTTCAACTGCACCAGTGTTCAGACAAAGAGTCATTGATCACTGAACACGACGGATCTGAGGTTAGGAATGTGCGATCTGATCCGCTTAGATTCTTCCCGCAACACGCTGTTGGTAAGGCTTTCGGAACCGTGTTTGGACACTCGACCAAATGCTCAAAATCTCTGCATACAACGGACTTGAGGTTTGAGAACGTGCGACCACTCAGAACTTTTCAAAAGTACGCTGTTGGTAAAGCTTTCGACGCCGTGTGTGGACCAATCAGATGCGCCTCACAACTCCGCAAACACGTTATACGAGCGAGCGAAGAAGTAGACAGAAAGGCGGCGCTTGGAAAGGTGTTCCTTGAGCTGCGTGTGTTAGCTTGTCTGCCATGCCCCTTCTTTTGAATCGACCTTGGAACAGGAGCACGACATCTGAAAGATCGATCGACCGAGAAGGCCTGGCGCCATATTACATCCGGCCGACTCATTCAATCAGTCAACTGAACCATGCGGTATCCAAGTGTACCGGCCAACACCTCACCAGAACGATATGGAAAGATCTCAGCGCAACGGTATGGAAGATCCGCAGTCCACCAGCTTTTCAAAGGGCGTTAACAAGCCTGCATCTCCGAAGTAACGGCATGAGCAACTTCTGGCACCCACTGTGTGACGTGACCAAATCAACGAAGCTGATTAGCAACCTAGGCTTTTCCAAGGAATGCCAACCCTTACCTTTCCGTAATACTCCATGGTTGGGATCGGGATGTCGTAATGGCCCAGCGTCGACGCGTAGGTGAATATCGGCGCCCCGCCGATGTGCTCGAAGCTGGCCGGGAGAAACGCTTGGTCCTCGGTGCAAACAATAATGTCGAGAAAGTCGGGCAGGCCGTGCATCTTTTCGATGTGGCGGAAGAGGGCCATCCAGTGCTGGATGCGCGGCGGGTAGTATACCTGTCGATGCAAACTTGGAAATTGAAAAGTTGGTTATGTTCTCCAGAAAGTGATGCACCATACAAGCGGATGAGGGAAGAGGGCCATCCAGTGCTGGATGCGCGGCGGATAGTACACTTGTCAATACAAAAGTTGAGGTTCTCAGAGCGGAGTTGGCTCCGTTCTCCAAACTCCGATGCACCCGCACAAACGGGAGAGGAAAGAGGGTAGTCCAGCGCTGAAGTGCGGAGCATAGTACACCTTTCAACACAAGATTGATTCCGAAGCGGGTTTGACTTCGTTCTCCAGATTCCGGTACACCCGCACAAAGGGAAGAGGAAAGACGGCAATTCAGGGCTGAGTGTGCGGAGCAGAGTACACCTGTCAACAAAGACTGAGTTTCGAAGCGGAGGTGGCTCCATTTTCCAAAGAAAGGGAAGAGGAAAGAGGGCAGTCCAGTGTTATATGCGCGGCAGGCAAGGCACAAGTCACCATGGATCCAACGTGAATCTGAGGTACGGAAAGTGCGGACAGTATTCACTGTATTCTGCCGCTACTGTACCAATGAGTGCGTGATATCGTGATTCGTTTTCTGCAATCTCGGACATGATTAAGCTCAGAACGCTATTTGTAGCTGCTCTCGCCCACTTCTCATGTGGCCCAGGTCTGCCTGTATACAAAGTAACTCCCTTTGGGCTGTGAACAAGGTTTGGATTTGTATTAATCTTGGAAGAGAGGCGCAGGCTCGTTAGACCGCCAAGATCAATGAAAGCACTGTGCACATCCTCCAGCACTCAACCCCCTGACACCTGAGACACTTGATCCCATTTCCTCAATCTCACTCCGTAACCGAACCCGTAAACCCGGATTGGGTGACTGCATTCCCGTCTTGGTCTTGAGCCATTTACTTGACCACCGTCGGCCCTTGCGCCCTGGTGCTGATTCATTTCTCAATTTAGCGACCCACAGACTCAGCAAGAGCAGACACAGACCAGCATAATCACTCAAAGTGCAAACCCCAAAGTAGTTTCATGCGCCCTCACCTTGGTCTTGAGCCACTCCTTAACCACCGTCGGCTCCTGCAGCACGCCGTGAATCACTTGTATCCGTAGCGACCCGATGCCTTGCCCTTGCTGCAAAAACGCAAACACCTTGGACACTTGGTCCTGCGTGATCCCCCCGCCGTCGCTCCCGAAGCGCTCCCAGGGTCGCAGCCACCGCTTGGCAACGGTTTGCAAAGCTACGACGTCTGAATCCAGCATGCTCCTGGAGAGCAAGGAGGGAGGGTTATAATTTCTTAAAAGACGAAACTATTATCTATAAAGACATCAATTGTTATATCTTAGTTATCACTCATAATATCACACAGTCCGCTGTTCTCATCGAGGTGCCGCGGTTGTAAACATCAGCGTCGACTGAACTCTCAAGTTGCCCTTCAACTGGACTCCCAAGTTGCATTGTCCTGGAAAGGAAGGAGGGAGGGGTGATGATTGTCCGCTGTTCTCATCAACTTTGCAGCCAGTTCAGAGTTTGGTGTCGATTGGACTTTCAAGTTGCATCGTCCTGGAAAGGATGGGGAGAGGGTAATTGCCTTCCATAGTTCTCATCAAGGTGCAACCATTCCTGTCGTTGGTTTGTCAATGGCAATGTGCCTGGCTCTCCAGCCTCCTGTCTCTGGTCATAGAATACAGGGATTCTTCTCCTCCTGCTGAAACGCATTCACATGTCTTTCCTTTCTGAACCATGTGATCGATTCAAGAGCGCATCAGTCTGCAAGACTGCAGAAAGCTTTCACGCTTCCTCATGGAGGCGACTGAAAACCTGCAGGAGTCTTGTTTCGATCGCATTTTGCAATCCTTTGGTACATCTAATAATCAATGAGCCAAAAGCCAAAAGAACTGCCCGTATACGTCTTGACATGATCCAGCTCTGTGGAGCTAAAATGCTTCCGATGGAGCTTTCAATATGTGAAACTTAGCAAGAGGGGGCAAAATGAGGTCAGGATAGATTCCATTGAAGTGACATGCTTCCAAGCATTCCAATATGTTTCTTGGATAGTTGACCATTGGAGTGGTGTCACCGGCAGTGGTTGGCAAGATGCGGAGCACGCTGTCTAGACCAGACGTCCTGATCTACTTTTTAGTGGCTTCTTAGGATGACCCTCATCCTCTTACCAACACTCTCACACATCCACAGCTCTTGAAAAGTGAAGTGGTCAAGGACGGAATCCCCACTTGCAGACATGGATCTGACTTGTCAGATGAACCACCATGACAAGATTCTCTCTTTATGCACCTTCCTGAGTAGAGATTTATATTACAAGCGACTCACCTTGTGGCTCTCAGATCATCGCTGCACGCGATCGCCATATCGTTCCGCAGGGTCTGGAGCGTATAAACCCCTAGAAAGCATAGCCCACCTATCGCCAGCCCAAAGAAAACGCGCTGCATCGTTGCCCGATTGAAAGTCTGCTTTCTGATAGAACTGGCGGCTGCTCGCAACCCCCCACCCTGCTCCAATCCCCGCCCCATCGTTCCACTGGCCTGCCGAAGTGGCTACTTGCTCACAAGGAACTAATCGATGTAACACACGAGCCCAGCATAAGATGGGTCGACAGAGCCGATCGTCCAAAAGTGTAGATGTGCGGTCCTAATCCAGGATCCTTGTATTCTAGACAAAGTACGCAAGTCTGCGGTGCGTCTGGGGTGTCTAACTTAGCTAATTTGAAGTCTGGCCGACTCAAGAATCTTTCTTTATTCTGCAGTGTTCAAAACCCTAATCCAATTACCTTCAAAGAATATGACCGGGGTTCTCTGAGAAGGACAAAAGATCTTGGAGTCTGCGCTTTTTGGCACAACAGCGTCATGGTTTCCTGGCACTGTATACTTTTGACACCCCTCTATCTCGACACTTGGAGCGTCCTAGACGCTTCTACCCGCGCTGCAGCTCTACATCGATGGTGATCATTCACAGAGCGGCCGTTGGAAGAAACCACGAATTCTGACCACCCTCGGGTGAAAAGAGAGTATCTAAGCGAAACAAGCTTGCAAGCTGTTTTCATGCTGATGGCTCAAAAGTACTGATCTCTCCATGATATCTGAGACCGAAAACACGGCCTCTCGATCTGTATTTTCTGAAGACCCCACCAGCAAAGAGGATTCGCATCTGCCAGCAGCTCCTGATTCCCATTCGCCCTTCCTTTCAACATGAACTTGAAGTGCCGCAAGCACACTCTAGATCCATATAAACCCGGATCGATCGCCCTCAGGACTTGCTCCAGAAGAGAAGGCTGAATGGACAGGCGGCGGCCTGAGGCTAGACCCATGTCAGACCCATGTGTATCACCCCTTCCGCTTCATCCGGGATTCGCAAAGTGACAGCTAGGTAACGCCGTATCACAAACGCAGTCCCCGCGTTACGACGTCGAGACAATGATGAGGTCAATCATGCTGCCACCGGAATTCAAATTACGGTCCGAAGGCGCATGCTTCCAAGTCATGGAAATTTGAGCTTATAAATCCAAAAACTGAAGCATTACTCCTCTGATCTCGGCGGTCTTTCTTTCTATGGCTCATCTTTAGTATAATCTGTGAGGCCAGGTCGAAACCGCCGCT